AAGTTTACGTGTGGCCGTGGTGTAACATTAGCCATCTAGCTATAGGTTGAGGAAGTATAGGTACTTCTCTGTTTGCAGGCCGGACTATGTTGTTAATCCGGCCACAGTAACTCCAGCAAGCAGAACTTCGTAGGAAAGACTTTATCTCCTTTCTACTTTCATCAGCTCATTCATTCGGCTTCTACTGCGCACGAAAGGAGAAGTATGGTATGTGAACTGTCATCTCGGGCATACGGTTATAAGGCAAATTTTGGAAGCTCTGAAAATCCGCTATTACTGTCACTATGAGTAAGTTACGCACAAGCCGGATTAGAGCTGATTTCTATGGGCATCTGGACTCTGATTGATACTACCTTTCATGACGATGCCCAACTGGAAGCTGTAGTAGGATGATACCGCTTTCCAACACACTAATTTTCAAGATAGTTGTGATATGTGCTCACATAGCGCTTGTGTGAAGCAAAGCAAGAGAGACAGGATTCCAGCAAATGCATCACTTTGTGTCTGGAAAATTATTCCCAAGATCACCAGTGAAGCTGGAGCCTTAATAGATGCACCAATCTGCGCTAACCAGATAGAGAGTGTTAATGCCTGAGGCATAAACAACACCGCAAAACGTGACCGAATCGGGGAAGGCCATAAGCGGGCAGCAAAGGATCAACTTACCCCAGAATCCAGTGATAGCTACATGTCGTGCTCTGCATTGTTCTGTGAGCCTCTTGTTCGCTGAAGGCATCCTCACGTGTGCGCGATTACATTCAGCACGATAAAGTGTGCGAAGCCAAGCTATGCACCCTTAGTCTGCGGGGTTGCTTTGCATTCATTGAAATTGTTGCGCCTTGCCTGTGAAAGGACCCCGATCTCCACCACGCGGTCACAGGGGAGTCGGTACACACGCCTCTCTATTCCCTGCAATATCCACTCACTTATCCAAATTGGCTTTTCGCCAATTCGTCTTACCGAACAATGGCTTCGATCGAAGATGACGACGATCGCGACCTTGCAGGTAAGCTTTGTGACTTCCTCCGGTTCATCTGGGCAACACTGATAAGTTCTCCGCAAACCCAGGCTCTCAAGACGGAAGTTCGGACAATGAAATGGAGGATACACTTCGGGATGCAGATGATGGAGGCAATGACAACGAACCTGATCCCGACGTGGACGCCGACCAAGATGCGGAAAGTCAGTCCAATGCTAGTCATGCATCCGAAAGCGCTGGGGTAGCGACGCAACCAAACGCGGATGTCGAAATGTCCAATACAACGGCTACGAATTCGGTTTCTGATCCACGATCTGTTTTCCATCCGAGCGTGCGGGAAAAGTGCCTGACAGCGCCTACGTTCGACATAGTCCCAACTACGGCCGCCCCTCACAGTACATCGATCAATGCGGTGACTGCGACCGCTGATATGAGATGGGTATTCAGCGGCGGCTCAGATGGATACGTTCGGAAGTTCAATTGGGTGGATTCTGTCAACAGCAAGCTGATGCTCACTGTGGCGCAAAGGCATCCTTTCGTCGACAGTGTCATCAAGGCGGGTGTACTGATGACGTACTGGGAAAACATGGACGGGAACACAATATCGCCAGTATACTCGCTGGCCAGCCATAGTGAAGGTCTATGGTTATTGTCTGGCTTGGAGTCCGGTAGCATCCGACTGCAATCAGTCCGTCATGATGAAGGAAAAGAGATCGCTCTTCTGCAACAGCATACTTCCGCAGTCTCTGTACTGAGCTTGACTTCAGATGAAAAGTCTCTACTATCTGGCAGCTGGGACAAGCGAGTATTTGATTGGGACCTTAACACAGGGCAGACCCGACGCGCATTCGGGTCTAGCGCCGGGCAGATTTCCGCTGTCGAGATACGGCCAGAATCCAGTCTGCCGGTTCCCAGAGACACAACCGAGATTCAACAAACAAATGGCACATACTCGTCCAATTATCAGGCTCCTGAGAATGGTAGCTTCAACTTCATGGATTCGTCGAACGACGGTGAAAACGGCACTGGCTCAAACCCGCAGGCGGGCTCTCCGGCTGATTCACTCTTCGGCGGTGCCGACTCGCTATTCGGCGACGAGAACGGGAATGGAGGAGACGAGGCCGGCGCATCTGGAAATGCATTCGGCATTGACGAGGATGATGAGTTTGGTAAAGCCCTTACTAATGGAGTGCTGCCAGATGCCGACGCCCCTGGAGAACCGGAACCGAGTCAGAACGGCGTTGCGGATGCTTCTGCTGCTCCGGCTCCGGATTCGGCCCCGGCCCCGGCAGGTGCTGAAGCTGCAACTGCCAATAACAATGCCGTCACTCAACCCCCTAGTTCTGGCCAGGCGGAGATGCCTAATGGCTCCTCTCAGCCGATAGTCAATGGACTACCGCATGCCGAAGAGCTGGAACCACCAAGCTATACTCAAGAGAGTGCTCTTCCTGCGCCAGCAGAAACAGGTGCTAATACGGATAATCTTTTCCTGGCTGCGTCCATTGATGGCACTATCCGAGTGTGGGATAGAAGAGAACCGGATGCCGTTGCTCGCATCACTTCTCAAAACTGCCCTCCTTGGTGCATGAATGCATGCTGGTCCCCAGACGGCAACTATATTTATGCAGGCCGTCGTAATGGAACTGTTGAGGAGTACAGCCTTCATAAGGGCCTTCGGAATGCTGAACGGATCTTCAAATTCCCTCAGGGTAGTGGACCGGTCACAGCACTCAAGGCCATGCCTAACGGCAGACATATCGTTTGGTACGTATTTTCGTCGTCACTCAGGCTCTACTTTCATTGACATGACTGGCTGACCGTCACTTCATAGCGCATCGCATGACATTCTTCGATTGTACGACCTCAAACATGAACAAGTGACTCGCCACTCCACAGTGCCCTTCTTGATTATTCCAGGACATCGTACCGGAACTGTATCCCAGCTATACATTGACCAGGCGTGTCGCTTCATGGTCTCAACAAGTGGTAACAGAGGCTGGGAAGGTAATACGACGGAGGTCTTGCTAGGCTATGAGATTGGGGTGCCTGGTTAAACGCCTGCCAGCTCCTTGCGGAAGAGTAAGTTTACCATATCATCTGTAACCTTGAAAGTATGTGGGCACTAATGGTTGTGTTTAGGCGTCAGTTGCCCTTTGGGTATGCAGTAGAATCGGTGTTCTTCTTGGACCCAAACATGAGGTGAAAGCGATGACTCAGACATCGCCTCTGCCACGGAAAATGCATGAATGACTAATGTGAATGACGTGAATGCAGTCGCTGATACTAGACAACCTGACTTCGATATACGATAGTATTTTGACATAATACATGATTCATATACACATGACTGCATAAAGTATCGCCGCGTGCCTCGGAGGGCACACATAAATATGGACACGAAAACCATCAATGTTACCGATATATATACCTCAACTCCCATGGGAACCTGGAATGCCAGTGACTCGCTTTCTTTTGAGCCATCAATACATTCGCTTGAAAAGAAGCCAACAAACGCCATAAGTACCAGCCAATATGCAAAAACAAAGAAAGAAAATTCACAAATCATATCCATCGTGGACTGCATCATCAAGGTCGAGGCCTTCGCAGACCTCATGTTGCCCAACCCGCCAAGATCCGAATAGTGGATTATGGGCCCATTTAACATGACCATCGTCGTCCTGCTCAAAATACACATAGCCTGGTTGCTCATCAGGATTGAACTCATCTTCATTGGGCGACACGCCATCAGGCCCCGTAACCAGATCACTAAATCCGGGAATATCTGTGTTTGGAACATGGCCACGAGCTTCAATGTGGCCGTTTTCCACGCTGTTCACCGTAATCAGGTATACGGGAGGCAGAGCCGAGTCTCTCTCTGCTCTCAAGGGCATAGGCAGCCAGGCTTCATTGTTGAACGACTCGATTCTGTTCTTGTCATGTCGCAATGGCAGCGGTCGGGAGAGAAGCATAGCATCCAACTTGGCGGTGTCGAGCAACAAACCCGGCGTTTGCACATAGAGGACACTGTCATATTGCATAAACTGGATCTGTCCCAGCCGCAGCAGCTTTGTATCGGTAGGCTTATAGCCTTCAGAAGTGGCTAGCGTCATATCAATGGGCAGAAGCCAGATACCGTACTCCAGACTTGCCGTTCTCAGCAAAGAAAGGGCCGTGGCGACTGGTTCGGTGAGCTTATTAGTGGGCATCAGGTCCCACTCACGCGGATACATGAACAGCCTATCCTGAACTGCAGTACCATTGGTTGCTAAGTGCTTAAAGAATAGAATGGCGGAGCAGATGTCCGACGGATCGGGGGTGGAGAGAAGCTGGAGGTATGCAAAGTTGCCCGTTGTTGCTTGTGTGGAACCAGCATCATCCCTCTTGTGCTGTTTATCGGCGACACTACCGGAGAAAACCTCTTGCCCGGCCCCTTGGTATGCTCCCACCGGGACCGCCGCCGGGAATGGTGGCGGAGGAGGCGGTCGGATGGCATGCTGAATGCTTCGGACAGACTGCTGTTGCAGGACATACCCCGAAAGGAAGAGCAGAAAAGTAAAGGTACAAATGACAGCTGTGGATATAATGACCGAGACCGTCGACGAAGTAAGAAGCACCATGACTGTCTGCGCGCCCCCCAGATTAATCGCTTAGTACGTGTCTGTGTATACCCGTCGTACGTAGCCTGTGGAGACTGAATTGTAGGCAGCACTGTTTTGATATGCACTAGTAACTGCTTTAGAGAGCCCGGCTTACACAGCAAGTATACGAGGAGTAATTTTCAATTCGAACCGGATGAGAATTCCAGCGATCATGATATTTGATAGAAGCATGAGTTTCTAGTCTGACACAGGCAGATGATCATCACAAACATTCACCCTGGCGGTGCCAAGGCCACACCATGTCTCAGCCTGTTGATTGTGGCCCGTTGGCCGTGCGACTATCGATAAGCTGCTTCTTGGCACTTTACTATGCATACCATCATGACCCTCTAGATGATAACATGCAGGAACAATAACTTAATATGCGCGTGAGAATATCCTCATCACTCACAAGGATACATACAATTTCTTCGTTATCATCAACACCCTCCCGACCATCAAAACACACCTCCATCCCTAACTCAACCCTCCCCCAAACACCCAAACCACCCCATGAACCCCAATACTCCTCCACCATTAACGCGGAGCCCCTCCACCGCTATACAACCAGCGGCTACCACCCAATAACACTAGGAAGCCACCTCCATCAAGGAAGATACAAAATCCTGCATAAGCTAGGATGGGGCGGATACTCCACCGTCTGGGCTGCTAGAGATGAACAGTACATACATATCTCAGTTTCATTATCCTGACATTGAAAGTTACCTAGTATCGAACAACCGCTAATAGAGAATTGTTTCAGAGAAGGGAAGTATGTCGCTATTAAGATCTGCGTATCGGAGAACTATAGCAATAGAGGGCATCGAGAAATGAATATATTGAAGAGTCTAGATGACGCTCAACACATCGTGCGCATGCTCGATCACTTCGATGTAGAGGGACCTAATGGGATACACCCCTGTTTGGTTCTCGAGATGTTGGGTCCAAGTGTGTCTGATTTGGTGGAGGGGCGGTTTGCAGATGGGAGACTCCCTGGGTGTTTAGCTAAGGATGTTGCGAGGCAGGCTATGATGGGACTTGATGCATTGCATCGAGGGAGATTGCACATGGAGGTCAATCTTTCTCTTCATGGTTGACGTCTCTTGCTTACATTGTATAGATTTCCATATTCGCAATCTGGCCTTCACTATACCTCCTACGACAATGTTCCCGAAGACGAATTCATCAATCTACTAGGAAAACCAGACATCGGGTACGTCCGCTGCAATGATGGTGGGAGACTGGGGACTGGGATTCCCGAGTATATTGTTAGACCTGCGAATATACATTCACAATCACGGCCTTTATCAGAGACCATTAAGATTGTTGACTTTGGTGAATCATTTCAAGGGGATGGTGCGCCCAAGACACTCCACACTCCATTAGTAGTTCGGGCACCGGAAGTGATATTCAAAGACCATCTGGATTATCGTGTGGATCTATGGAGTCTAGGCTGTATGGTATATCACGGTCCTACCCACCACTCTGATTATGTTGTGGCTGACTGGTGTGATAGTTATTCGAGTTATTTGTCGGTCAACCTCCATTTGACAACTTCTTGATCACTCCCAAGATTCTCGTCGAGCAAATGCAAGAAATGGCAGGCGAAGCATTGCCTGACAGATGGGTACCTTTATGGGAGTCAATACGTGGTGAGAATGTCACTGAAGCCGGGGGCCCTGGATTGCAAGAGTGGTTGGAGGAGATGTACTTTGATAGTGAGCGCAAAGAAGACTTGACGAGAGATGATATCGTGGAACTGGGGAGGATCATTCGGAAATTACTACGCTTTGAGCCAGGTGCTCGTGCTTCGGTGGAGGAGGATTTGGATGAGCCTTGCTTTAGAAATTGACATAGTTGTATAGTATGCTTCTGACATGGATATGCAATAAATTAAGGTGAATCTTCTCTGTCAACTGCATCTTCACTGTGATGTTAACATAGTGAATAAGTATACAACCCACACCGCCCACCACCTCAAAGCGGTACCACCAAACCAACCGGCAGAAAAACAATCCCATCCACCATCTCCACCACAGATAGAGATAGCTAGCTTCCCCAAGTCTACCTACATACCTATCCAATCATTCATTCAATTACCTTCAATATCCTCCCTACCCTCTCCCACCCCTCTCACCCCTCCCAAGAACCTCAAACAAACAAAAAACAGAAAAGAAAAGAACAATGACCTCCCACCGCGCCGACGCCAGCACCTTCCTCGACAACCGGGGCTACAGCGGCCCCCTAGTACGCGGCGTGAACCCAGCCACGCTCTTCGAAAAAGCCGTTCGGGACCGGATCACCGACTCCTACTACTGGAAAGAGCAATGTTTCGGGCTCAACGCCGCCACACTCTGCGACCGAGCCTTGGAACTGACCTGCATCGGGGGCGTATACGGCGTATCCGAAAAGCCCTCCCCATTCCTCTGTCTCGCATTCAAGCTCCTCCAACTCAACCCAGAACGGGACATTATCCTCGAGTATTTGAATTTCAGCGATCCCGACAACGAACCCACGAATGATGAATCCTACGAGGAGGGCGACGGGGTAGTCAAAGCGCGCGGCGACTTCAAATACCTGCGCGCGCTAGCGGCGTTCTACGTGCGATTGACGTTCGAGCCGGTGGAGGTGTATAAGACGTTGGAACCGTTGCTGTTGGATTATCGGAAGTTGAAGAGACGGGTGCGCGATTCGTTTACGTTGACGTATATGGATCAGTTTGTGGATGAGTTGTTGACCAAGGAGAGAGTTTGTGGTACGAGTTTGTGGAAGTTGCCTGCTAGGCAGGTTTTGGAGGATTTGGATTTGTTGGAGGTTAGGGTTAGTCCGTTGCAGGATGAGTTGGAGGAGATGGAGAGGAGTGATCGGGAGGAGGATGAGGATGAGGATGGTGGTCGTGATGATGAGGGGAGTGAGGAGGGAGAGAGGCAGGGTGATGATTGAGGTGTCCGGCTTGGTGTCTGTTGATTTTTTTTGACCTCTTTTCTGGGCCTCGGCCTTGCGGTGCGGCTGGGCTGGGCTGGGTTATCGGCTGCCTGTGTGTGCACGCAGGTTGCTGTGTATAAGCCTGGATCCCTGGGGCTGTCGGCTAGATGGTGTTCGGCTGATGGCTATCAGATCCGTGTGGTAGCCCACCGGTTGCGCCGTTCAGCGCCTACTCTAGCTGCTGCTGTGTGGCCGTTCGGAAACCCGCTCCGGCGCCATCTACGTTCGGTGAAACGATACGTGAAGCGACAGGCTACTGCTGCGGCTACGGATGTACGCACCTGGTCAAACTCGGTCCTCGTGGGATACTATTGAGTAGATTGCTCAATTTTGGAATGCGCTGAGATAGCCTCCATTAAAACACAAAGCATGGCATAGTCGGCAATAGAAGGAATGAAACAGCCTCCCATATATGCAAATCCCATCCACCCATCTGGTTTACATACGTAAGGATCAGAATCCCTGCTGGCGATGCCATTTCTCCTGCCAACCCTGGTACCAAGGACTGTCATCCAAGGTTGACACCTGCCAATTCTTGGGGACCATTCCCTTCTCTTCCTGCTCCTTGGCCCACTCTTCGAGCTTCGGCATTACAACGTGCTCCACGTGCCAGGTGCCTTTGTAATCCAGCAAGTTCTTTTTACCCTCCTTCAGGATCTTGGCCGTCAATGCAGGCACGCCTGGCTCGTCCTGGAATTCTGATACCGGGGTGAAAAGGGCCTTGAAGTTGAAAACAATGGCGGCGGAAAGAGGGAGACGACGGAGAGTCTGCCAGTCGACACGCAAGTGACAGTTGTCCAGCTGGAGGTTCGGGTCCTGGGAAAGGCGCAGTGTCTCGTGAGGGTCCCCTTTAGGCATGTACAAAGGCTGGCCGACCTCGAGTCCCCAAGATCCTCTCTGAATGGGCTTGTCGGCAGGCATCTTGGTAAAAAACCTAGGTATTTCCTATCAGATCATCCCTCGTGTCCATATCTATGGCCGAATGAACTTACCGATCCATCGAAAATTGCATCTTCTCTTTGTAGTCCGGAATGTCCTCGTGGATCTGATGCAGCTGAAGGCCAATTTTGGTTCCAACATTCCATCCCAAAGACGAACAGATGACGCCTGCGCGTAGGAAGTAGAATCCCGTCTTCTCATCGCGCATCATGATCCCAAAATCCTCTGGCACATTATTAATAAGAATCTCGAGGGGATGCTTGGACTTGATATCCTCTGTCGTTTCTAGGATCCGATTGTGCAGAATCTGGTTGTTCTCGACGGCAAAGTACTGCGGGTAGCGGGCACAGATAAACTGCAATACCATTTCCATGAGCTCCTTGCAGGCCAGTTCAGAGCCAGGAAGATAACCAAGCACGGAGCTACCATGTTTGGCGTACAACTCCTTGCGCTGTTTGACTCGCTCTTTGTAGGTTTTCTCGAGTTCAATCCACCAATCGGTCTCCAACTTCGTAAGGGCTATCGCGTTGCAAGTGGTTAGCTGGTGCTATTTGAGCAAACCAAGTATAAAACGGGAATAACGTACACATTGTCTGATGGTAGGACCACCGGAACGGGCGATAAGGTCGTGGCAACGCCTTGTCAATGTCGAACTCATAGTACGGCTCCGGCAAGGGCACGCCACTGAGTTCAGCATAGTCAGGGAAATCACCCAGAGTCTTCACATCTGCCACCGAGAATCCTGTTGGTGTATAGCTCTTGTCCGTGCATGTCTGGTAGTTCGTAGTCATAGGCAGTGGGTATTTTGCAACTTCTTCCTCGTCGACACTTTCACTGGAAATTGCAATTTTGGATGAATCGAGAACATGACGACGTTGTGGTGGAAAGATGTTCACATAAGGTGCAGAAGACGGTTCAGAGAGTTCCTTCTCCTCAGCCGCTGCTGCCCATGGCTGCCACCCATGTTTGGAGAACCTGTTGTTGCGAAGTCGACCTAGGAAACCGCTACCCTGCAATCTCCCGGTAACTAGGAAGAACCCAGCGAGTGAGAGCATGGCAAGGCCGATCAGCCATAGGTTACCCTGGTTGTTCAGTACGTCCATATTGGATACCTGCTGTCCCACAACGCCCAAAAAGACAATGAGACGAGAAGAGACCGTAGCCGCAGGGTTGTAGCGATCGGGACGCCGACAGAAACGCCAGAGGGAAACAAGAGCAAATATACCGCACCTGAAAAAGTGGAGGCGTTACGTGAATGGAAGTCGGATGCGGTTCCCATAGCACTGACAGGCAGCCATACTAGGAAAGCTCAGCCTGCCCCAGAATTCTGGGGAAATCCCAGCTGATAAATCGGATATCCTGCTGCATAAAGGTGGCATCCCTCGACAAAATTTACTCTGTTTGGTGCGGCAATGCAGATAAAACAAAGATAAGGACAGTATCAGTCAGATACGACGCAGAAGCTTTGATAACCGACATGCTTCTTCTCCATGGCCAGCGGTCAACACGACACGATAACAGGCTCAGGCGCAGACTCATGACGGATCGGCGCAACCGTTTTAGCTGAGAGACGCAGCTGATTCGCCAGCTCCCACTGCTCTTCCATTGGGACGATGCGCCGAGGGTTTTTAAGACGCGCCTATAGCAATGTCATGTCCCACCATCGTCCATCTGGTGCGTACTCGAGATAACGTTGGGGACACAACGAGACCGACCCAGAACACTAAAAGGGATGAGTACATCCGCTGCAATGTAACCAACAACGTTTGGTTCGTCGGCTTCAATTATATGTACCACTTATATCTCTCCGCCCTGTGGTAATCATTAGGTATACAGATAACCGCCGGAAGCGAGTTCCCTGCACCAGGTGAGGGGGTTAGGGGGTTTGAGGGGGTCTGTGGCTTGCAACAGGATAGACATAGGCCCACGACATCATCATGATGATCGGCCTAAGCAGGCAAGAGACGCAACAAACCGAGGAATAGCAGGATGTTGGATTCAGCTGACGGAAGAGGGAAAGAAGCAGCGTTGAGAGGCGAGAGTTGGATTGCCTGGAATGGCAAAACTATCCCGCAGCGGGGTTAGTCATGTGCCGCCAGGTTGTTTCCCATACTTCCTGCTTGCATCTTGCATCACTTCACCACCGTGCAATGCATGGGATTCGTCGCGGCAACGCACCGGGCTTGACCTGTCTCTGCACAAATCCGAAACGGATCAGCCATGCCGGGATCCTGGCAAGTGACTCGACCGTTATTGGGGCTCTTCCCCGGAGTTGATATCTCGGGCTAGTATGTCGATAATCTTGCCCAGACTGCCACAAGAGATCTCCAAAGACGTTGCTCAACATAAGATGCCTCTGATTAAGCCTCTTTGGGAAGCTTGGCGGTTATATCCCCGAGAAAAGGACATAGTCTGGCAGTGTTGTGCAGATATTGACCCATACTTGTCCGACCCTCTCACGCAGTCGGCAAAGATCTATCAATTTTCAGCAGCTGAGATCCAAGAACGATTGTCCGTGGCAGTTTTTCTGGCTAGGTCATGGTCTGCAGATAACTACATGCCGGGAAGGGAAAGTATTATCAGAAGAGCACGCCCTGGATATATCAGACCTGTTGTGAAACCAGGCAAAGTTAATCACAGTCCCTCCTCATACAAAACCAATATTACAAGAACCACCGACAATACTCACATCCAGACGTCCATGACCACAGATTCATTTCACAGATTCATTTACACACGCACGACTCATTGGTAAAAAACGGCACACGAAGCACGCCCCATCCCTGTCTACGTATTCAAGAATCAGAAACTAGCTATCTCCACGCAAACCCCATAAACCCGAAACTAACTACTAGGTGGCAAAACTTCATTGGCAATGCAGGTACCCGGACAGCATAAGTAGATAGTTCCAGGCCGTGGGTCCGTACATACAGATAGCCTAAGGTTAGATAGGTAGGTGATCGTGGAAAGTGGCAAAAACGACGTGTGGCTTAGGCAGACTTGATTGGCACTGGAATAGATCTCGAACTGGGCGCGGGAGCGGGTAATCCGTGCGTCGTAAGGTTTAGCTGTCACTTTATGTTCTAGACCCGGCGCGACTTGGAAAGAACCGGTAGAGATTCGATTGTTGGGCTGGGCTGGGCTGGGGTTTGGGTCTGGGGCCCGCTACGATGGGGTTGAGGGACCATGGATAGATAGATCATAGAACCTTGTGGAAGTGGTATGGGACAGGTGGAGGGAATAGTATGTATGGAAACAGATCGATGCCTTTAGTATTCGGTCCGGTACTAAGCCCATTGCAATACATCATTAGTGTAGATGCACGGCATCTTTCGCTATCAGAACAACTTCGCTCCATCGTGGTAAGATTACAGGTTGAACCCAATGATAGCGACATATCTCACACCGACCAATCTTTCAATGCATTCATGCGAATTTCAAATGACGCTCCATGTAACCCTGACACTTGTAATAATAGAAACACAGACAATGGAAATGGAAATGAAAATGAAACAGAAAAACAGGGGCTAGATGACAAAGAGGTTCGAAGTAGGAAAACAAGAGCGAGGGGAAGGATTCTGGTTAATCCATTAGAGTATGTACTTCAGCTTGTAGCACAGGTCCCTGTGCTTCGATATACACGGAGGTCGACAATATCAGGGGAAAGAATCGATGGAATCTGAGAAGAGCCGCGCCTGATGACGTGGTTTTGCGTAGTAAGTTTTGTTGTAGCCGCCAGGCGGCTATGTTTTTCCACCTCCGAAAGGCGAATGAGGGTCCGTTTTATATGCTTTTTAGCTTCCCCGCCCCTCTACCCAACGCACCACCGTGAGGATGCATGACGCGTAGACATCGTGATGATCGAAACACCGGAGGTGGGGGTTTTTGTCGGAGGGGTGGGGCTGTCGAGTCCATCGTCTCTCCTGTAGTCGAATGAAAAGGAAGTCAAGGATTATGTGACAAATGGGTATCATAACACCGCTGTTTTCGCCGAAACACGCAAATCGAAATACATAGGAGATGTAAATGCAAAACACGAAGAGATAGGGTTCTGCGACACCCAACCGTTAATCGGGGTTCGTGAGCTGCGTCACGTGTTAGCGTTCCAATATCAGACATCACGATAGGGAAAACATGGGGACTGACCCGCAACACAGGCCGAGAATAATCTTCATTATCCTGGAGTGAGACATCGCTATCTCGGCGGCCATTCGCGTAGAGAACGGTATCGGTTTTCATGCGGTTGTCCGTAAACGTCGGCAAGCGGCTGGCAGCGGACCCGGCAGACAAGGTATGACTATGATTGTCGGAAAACATGCCCTTCATAAAACTCATCTGTGAGCCTTTGCTTTGTCTTCCATCCAGCAGGATGGACTGTACACTTGGATCTGGGCTGTTCGACCGCGATTTGCGTTTCGCGAAGAACAACACGAATATCAAGGCTAGGATGGCGAGGGCACCACCGACAGAGCCTACCACAACACCAGCGATGGTTCCTGAGCTCATACCAGAGTTGTCGCTACTCTTTGCGGATGAAAGGTTGTCCGCTGCAGACGTTGAAGTTGCTTTTGTGGCAGCGGGAATTGTGACCGTTTTGACCACCCCAGAGTCGGTTGTGACTGCAACAGATTCTCCCGTCGTCGTAGCAGCAGTAGTTTCAGATGATGATGAAGTCTGGAAAAGGTCAGTCCTGTTCAATATCATAAGCATTGAGACCTGGCAGGTCATTGCGCACTTCAGCGACCGAAGCAGCCATGGCACAGTTGATAGCAACACTGTCAACAAACTCGTTCGCTGTGCAAGGCAACGGACCATACGGGAAACGTTCAGCCATGGAAGGCTAGCATGCCTGGCGAGTCGAGACATCGGCAGTGCGCAAATCACGACCCAAAGACTCCGAACGAGTAGGAAAGGGCTCTACTGACCGAGGTTGACGATGTTGACGTCGTAGAGACGGTTGCTGTTCCGGACGGCTGATGTCCAACGATCTCAACGTAACCGTAAAGGCCCTTTGAAGTACTACCACAGCTATCATCGGGGTAACCGGGACAATCCTGGCTACACTGCGAAGTGTTCACGTTGGTCGCTTCATTAGGAACAATGTTCGAGCACCAGCAGTCGTATCCCTGAAGAATACCAAACGCATAGTTGCTGCAGTGGTCCTCGCAAAGACCATTGGACTGGTAGGTACTTTCGTCTGCATGAGGTTAGTGACCGGATCATGACAACGCCACGAATATCACATACTTGCTGCTTGCGAGGAGCCTGTATTTACCGAAGAACAGTAGGTGAGAGAGGATGCGACCGACACAGGCCAAGCAAGCAAGGCAATCACACCAAGCAATGGTGGAAGAAGGAAGTCGGCCCGCATGGCGAAAATTCCGACCGTATCCGTTGACGAGCTCCTGGCGTTTCAACGATTGTGTGCGAGCGAACGGTGATTATAAGGTGGCTCTGATGCCGAATTCAATTGGTCCAGGCTTCCACTTTATGGAGGTGTCTTATAGATGGCCGAGCTCCCCACCGACGGTTTGAAAACTTTTTCGAGTGTATCAGAATGGCGAATATCCAGAACGCTGCTATGGCCCGCCAGTCGAACAATTGATCCGTCAGGCCCGTGCCCGAAGCGAGTACTATAACGACAGGAGATTCGGGTAGACGTCCCGCAGGTGAAGGTAGACCGAAGATAGCTGATGCCGATCAGCCACGGACCTCCCAGATAACTCTTCGCAAGCTCGACTCCGAATCAATACGTACCAGATATCAGATGGGCGAATTTAGTGTCGTATTAGGAACGATGAAAAAATGAATCGGTTCAATAAAGGGGCGATTTCAACTGCGAGGGAACGCCGAACCAGACATTGGAGGGAATACGGGATCAACACAGCGCCGGTAAGGTTAGAAGGTAATCGGCATCATCCCCTCCAACCAAGACCAGGGGAGGAGTGTGAATGGCGAGAACGAGGGGTGGTGCTGCGTTCGGGGCGCAGGTGAAGAAAGTGGAAAGGGGTAAGTATGGTAGAGGAGAGGTAATAGAGAGAGACACAATTGAGGTTGGAGAAAGACAAATCTTCTCGGGGTGAGTCGAGCAGGCCCGAGAGGATGGGAATGGATGAGGAGGAGAGGTGGACTAGACTACGGCGACGCCAGCGGGAAGCCTGCAAGTGGGAGAGGCCGTAGTGGTAAGGAAGAGTGAGTGAGTAAAATGCGAATACCGAAACGGAATCAGGCTGGCCTAGTCCCGATGTTCCACACCAGCGTGGCCACTGCCAGTAACCGTTCTAGAAACCTGCACCTGGAAATTTTAAATTATTGGGCCAGGTCAGTAAGTAAATTATCACTCGGAGTACGTTCTCCGTGGGTGCGAGCAGCAGCAGAGCGAGAGAAAGAGGAGGTATATCATCGTGAAATGGAAAGGAAGGTAACGGTACTAATTATGTATGAAGTATGGGGAAAAAGAAAACAAGAGGAAAAAAGAACAAAAATAAAAATCCGGCTTACCCGCTTTGCAGTGGGCCGCTGGCCGCATCGGGTCTAGCGGGCTAACCAACCGTCGGGTCCATACGCGTCGCTGTACGGAGTATTCCTCCCGTCGCTTTTACCTGTTACCAGCCGATTTTGTGCTTGGTACACCCGGATACACTCTTCTTTTTTTTTTGGGAGGGGCTGGAGTCAAGCATTTCTTTCTCTATCTCGATGATGGGATCTGCCAAATGCCACCAAGCACTCTAAAAAAGTCTTCCGCCAACGTGTATGACAACGCTCACGGGGAATACTGACCCTGTGTTTACTTTTCACCAGGAGGAGCTTGGTCGCAGTATCTTTAGTTCACTCTCGCCCCCAGTCAGTGGTATTTTCCCCAAGTGGGCAAGCTGACACTCCTGTCCCGAATCACGTATTTGGTAAGAATCGGTCTACACTCGTACCTGGACAAAATACAAATTCCGATCTGCTAGGAGTCTCCTACAGTATGCTTACGGTATGGCGCCACCACGTTAAGAGAAGAGAAAATATTTGCAAAGGTCAACGAAGCCCACTGTAAAATGGCTGTTAAGGGGGGGAGGGAGAAAAGGGCAGAAAGAGTGGAAGATAGCGAGAGTGATTAAATTGAAAACATAAACACATAAAGAATGGACAGTACGGTCGGTCAGTCATGCAAACAAAACTTCAGAATCTAAGAGGTGCTGAGCGCCCTTTAAAGTGACTTGATCAAAGGAAACGAAACAATTTCATTAAAAAAGGCAAACTCTATCTTTGTGATCAGTGGCATGTAGTCTGCCTACTGTGAGTGTGTGTATGTATGTATGTATCTGTTTCTCTGTAAATTCTAAGCTCAGGACCAACGCAATCCTAGTCTGAAACCACTATCTATCCTTTGCATGGGGCCGCGATCCTCCCATCCCAGAGAGAGAGAGATACAAATTCTGGCTTAGTTGCTTATTCTCCTTCCTTGCCAACTGTAGCTTACTTGGATCGGATTCCGGTGCGAAGCCAACCAGGAGGGGTTTAGCTGCCTATTTTCTTGCCTGCGTCACTTTGTCTGACACAGCGGACGGGCACTTGGAAAAGCTCCTGTGTGAAGTGTTACTGGCTGTGTGAGGACGCCCCGACCGTAGATATGGAGCCACCAAGTGGGCATCGATGTTGGATATTACAGCGTACCCAAGGAAAATGGATCTACCGGTTCAGCCACTTTGTAACCGAGCCAGGTATTCAGCGTTTGAGACAGGGCCACGGCCGCAGATCCTGAACCGTTGATTGGTTGTGGCTGGGCCAGCACTGCGTGGCCCAGTGTAGCTGTCGTCGTACCTGATACGTAGGCAGTCACCATTGATTTGGTTGAAGGATAAGAAGACGTGCGACCAACTGCTGAATATTTATTATTATTATTTTTTTTTCGGAAATCTTCAATATTTACTGTGTTAAGAAATTATGTATGTGGATGATGAAAAGAAATTACTTTGTAGTCAAGTGACAACGGTCGCTGCCTGTTGAGGAGAAGGAGGAGGAAGAAGAAATCACCACTACTACTTAGCTACCAGACTAATGGTGGGGGTAAAACAATTCCCAGGAGATGATGACTATTTTAGTGTCTAGCTTGCGATAGTAACTAGGACTATTCTGGGCTAGTGCAAGCAAGATAATACACAAGATACACACTGACTATACAGGGTACAGTAACAAACCCGATATGCAAGGTAAGATACGTAACAAACAAATCATACGGCACTCGCCACCGCACAGGACAACTCCTGGTCTTAGAATCCGCAGCAAGTGGAGTTGCAACCCGGCAGGAAGGAGAGGTCTAGAAGGCAGGATCGGTGGTGCGCTGACCCGATTCCCGCGTATGATGTAAATTATTCCCGCTGCCTCTGGGCTTGGCCCTGTCGCGTCTCTGTTGGTCTGGCCGTGGCTGGAACGAAGTCGAATCTCAAAGGTAAGGGAAAGGGTCAAAGGTGAAGTACCACAATGGTAAACTTGGTTGAATACGTCCCTGGGAGAGAAAGGAGATAACAAGTGGTGGACCGACGGTTTCAGCCGGCCTATCCCGTCTACTTTCCCAAGGATGTCCACCATAGGATCCACGGATGTCCGAAAGTTGGTCAGATCCAGGTGTTAACTTAACAAGCTAACTAGTAAGTTAATCGAAACCAACTTGCTTAGGCAGTGACAAATCATGCGGTCGCATCTCCAGCTCCTTCCACGGTTAGGAAACAACCTCGTGTCATGGCACAGGCACGCCCTGCAATTGGATGCTCGTCTGGGCCGCTGCCATACAAGCTTTGCACTATCATAAACAACCCATGTCGCTCAGATGCTGCCATCCGACATCATGATCACATACATCTTAGGCTTGACTCGGTCCATCATCGTGGGAGCTAAAGTATACTTCCGGTGAAGAGCTTCGGGGATGATTCAGTCCTGTAAACAGGTGGCATGGGGCCAACGGGCTCCCTCCGGAGTCACTAGGCAGCAAGGTGTTGCTCACCTGTCTGCGTACTTCTGTTGCTTGCAGCAAGGCATCCGCATCACTGCACTCACTTCCTGCGAGGTAGCACGGAGAATTTGTTGCATTGCACCCTGCGACTTCATCGCTAGGACCATGAAACGATCGCATTGCTGGGAAGGCTAGGTATACACTACTCATATTTATTTAGTCGTGTCTTCCTTCATCTACAGGAACGATGAGAAAAGATCGACAATATTCGGCTTGGTATCGAAGGCTTTCCAAGCTTTGCGATCGATCATCGCCGGGTCCTATTGCGATATATACATAACATGGTGCCCGCGGCCCTCCCGTAATTCTTTGCCCCTGTCAGCAAGCCTCATCATTATCGCCCAAGCGGACATGAGATCGCCTGTTTTGAGCCAGATCAGAAGAATATGCTTGGGACAACGAGAAGTCTGGCTGTGCTCTCTATTTAGAGTGATTAAAACCCCATCCTTCGATAGCAGTGCTTCCGACTCTGCTAACGGTACGGAACAGCATATGATAACGCGCTAGACACATTCTTGCCTGGTGCTCCGGACATGCACCCATATCCCTGGAGTTGCACTAAACTACTGCACCGTCGATAGTGCTAAGCTATTGGCATTTTTGTCATCTGGCCAATGAGCTGTGCAAAGCCCATCTACCCAGACAGGCGATGCGAGGATGACGCCAGTAACTTAAATTTCTGAAACCCCGCCTTTCAGGTTCTACCTTCCTATCACACTACTATTTTGTGGTGCCTTCGATCGAGTCAAAACTCCCGGTCATATGGTTTGCAGTTGGACTACTGTCTGTCTACCTGGCGGGGCATGTTCAGCACTCGTCTAGGTCACCCTATGGTATTGATAGGGACCGTCTCTCTGTACCCAGTACTTCCACTATACGGTCGATCGGAAAACAGACTATTCCTTTTTTTGCTGGAGCCGCATGATGATGGCATGAGCAGCTGAACAGTTTGGCCTAGAATTGACTCGCAGCGGAATGCCCTTCGTTCTTAGCCTTTCATAACAGATATGAAGGGGTACCCTCACGGGAACTACGGCAATGCCGACCGGGCGACAGCCAGATCGCTAGCCTTATCTGTGAAGCCATCCGCAAGGGGGTGATAGCATTGATATCGCGGTACCAAGGGAATATAGTGTGCCAGTGAACCATGGAACCCGAGTGTGGCTGGTGCAGCCATCAGAATCAACCCGGGACACGATCAGACTATCGCAATGTCAGCAAGGTTACCAAATCACACGCAAACAGAATTTGCCGGGCCGTAACCAGCCCAGTGCCCATCGCACTATCCTTAATATCGGCATTTGGTATTACTTACTCCATGTGGAGGACTCCATCACGATGATCGCTCTTCCCGCAAAAGCAATGTGGCTGAAGGGAGCGAAGCAAAAAACCGGAACGGAATCCAGGGCGTGAGCTGATTAGTCACATGCCGATCCGTGATTCGTAAGCGGGGCGCGGTCCTTCTGAAAGTAGTTACTCTCTTTTCATCAGTCAGCAGGCATCTTTCCATTTCCCCTGACCTCAGTGTGTGCACATATGGGGAAATTGAGTTGAAAGGACTCTCTAACATTGCTAGATGATTCAATAAACAAACAACACTATACTCCCATCTACCACCACAGAAAAATGAAAAACAACAACAAAGACCCAAGCACAAACAACAATCAATCAATCAACTATGAATCCACCCATACAAAAATAGTAGCACATCGGCCATCCCTTTGGTGGACACTTAATTTACTCTAGCGGCGTAATTTTCATCTCCTGGCAATTTCCTCCGTCCGGTCCTAATTTTGGTCAACGGTAAACAATAGCAGCACCACCTTTTCATTCCCTACGATGGAGCCCGGAAGGGCTGCCTCGCTTGACTAACTATTTCCTATCTACCAGACCAGTCAAGAATAACTCTCAGACCTACTAAGAAAGTGGAGATATAGCTGTCAATCGATACTACTACGTACACCAGTCTATCTATACCTGCTATTCACAGTATGCAGTATCATTCTACCGGATTCTTTATTGGGTTTATTTATAGATGTACTATCTACTCATGGGATACTCATCAATGTTTACACTTCCTAGGACAGACGCACGCATACACAGTGCACTGACACATGACATGTTTAGAACTTATTATATCCTATATCATCCGAGAAGTAAGGCCAGAGCAAGACAGAGAGCCCTATAGCCAAGTAGTCACACACACCCATACACACCCATCATCCCTAAATATACCACTCCGCTCAATTAATAGCAACAATAGTAAATAGACACATCACATGAACCCCCCCCCCCCCCGTCCTCCCATCCATCCCTCGAATCCCCATCATTAATCAAAGAAACCAACTACTAACCCACACATAAAACCAAGTACCTCCTACCTCATACAGTAAATTCCTCCAGAAACCAAACCAAACCCTTACCCCCAAAAAAATAAAAGAAAAGAAGAAAGGAAAAAAAGAAATCCTATGTGACTCGTCAAATTAACGGGGGCCGAATCCCCGAAATTCTGAAACATAAGGTACATACATTTTCTCATCCCTGTAGATACATACAGATACAAGTATGTGTGTGTTTACTCCGTAATGCATGATCATCTGCATGGACGGGTTGTGAGGCTGATTTGGGTATATGCTATGCTTTTTACTTAGGTTTCAATTTAATCTATTTCTTTCCTGGTAGTAGTAGACGGGTTGCAAGCGAGAATGGTAAGTAGAGGGAATGGGATTGGGGGCTGCTACTGCTACTGCTTGTTGTCGTTGGCGTGGCTTGGCTTGGTTCGGCTTGTTGTTGTTGTGGGTGAGGCGCAGCAGCAGTAAGTAGCGAGAGCAGCAGCAGCAGCAGCACGGTGCGATTGTGTTGGTTGATTTTTATTGCTTAGTGGATATGGGTTGGGGCTGTTGTTGGTTCTCTTTTGATTAAATGTTGTTGTTCTTGTTTATGATTTACTGTCTTTGGTTTAGGTGGTTAGTTAGCAAGTAAGCAATCAAGCAAGGTACTAGATACTATTCATATATTGCTTCATCCAAGGTGAGGGTATATAGACAATTATGATGTGGTCTGGAACCTGACAACAACAACGGCAACACGGGTATCTGGGAACCCAAACAGACTCGGGTCTGCATCCGACCAGGGTATATCGGAGCTGTAGTATAAGTCCAACAAAAAAAAAAAAAAGTCCGCTGTTTCACCACCGCCCTGGGCGCTGAGGGCCCCTCCAGCGGTTGCCCTCGACGACCAGATCCCGTTCCTTCTTTCTCCGCTCATCCCGAATGAAGCGGGGAGGTGGTGGTTGGTTGTCGAGAAGCAGGGGCGCTGCTTTCTCGGCTGCAGGTATCAGAGGTGGTGGAGGAGGAGCAGCTACACGAGGCAGAGATGCTCGCTCGCGGTGGATCTCTTGAATTCGACGACGGCGCGCACGCCGAATCTCTTCCGAGCGCTCAATCAGTGCGTCGACGTCGTTCTATGCAGGTCTGTCAGTAGGGGATAGACAGGTGGCACACAAAGAAAAGTGAAACATGCCTGCTCGAGGTAGGAAAATATGTAATAGAAGGACTCGGTCTCCTCATACTCATAGCCAGACCGCTCAAGGGCCTCTCTCACTATCAGGTCCTTCGTAATCTCCGTCCAAAGGCCGTCACGACGGTCTTTGAGTCCAACGTATCGTCGTCCTATTCGCCCAGGTTGTCGTTCCGGGATATTGTCAGACTCTTTCACGTCTTTAACAACAAGCTTAGACTCACGATCTCCGTATCGTGAAGGCTTAATTTCTTGTGTCACTATCTCAGTCCGTTTCTCTTCCTTGGGTTCGGCTCTGACGATATCCAGCTCCTTCATGGTCTTAATGTCCTTCCTAGGAGGCGTGCGATGCCCACGGAGCCTGTAGTAATCCTCTTCTTCAAATTCTTCTTCGACGAGCGACTCTCGGCTACCATCCCGCCGTATCACTGTAAGCTTTTCCTTTTCGCGCTCCATAGACCTAGGCCTCGGAGGGTCGATAGGTACAACCTTTTCCCGCCGAGGTTGAGGGAATTCCTCTTCCTCTCGTCGAAGAATGAGGAGCTCCTCCTTGTCCCGTCGTCCTTTCCGGCGTCTCTCACTATTCGAGGGTGAGCGGCTTATAGTTGAGGATATGGCTTGTCCAGACATACCGTTCGCGAAATTCTGCTTCTGTAACTGTGATTTCAGGGCTATGAGCCCGAGACATGCTAGGCTTTGTTCTAAAGCCTACGAATGAATGTGAATGAGCAATGCTGGGATACATAAGGAAGAGAACAACTCTTACCATCACGAATAGGTCTACCGTGCCCCGGCGATGGAACTCTAGGGATTGCAATTTCTGGAGATGACGACCCTTCCCGTCTTTCGAAGATAATCTCCTTTTCCTCAACACTTCGCTCAGGTCTTCTTTCCCTAGGGTCCCAGAATGAGACTTCCTCCTCATCGACCTCTTCATCGAGCTCGTCGTCAGCATCATCTAAACTTTTGTGTCGGTGTGATCTGTGCCTGTGTCGCGAATGCGATGACCTCTCATAGAAAGGGCCACTGCGGTGCCTCCTATGGTGTTCCTCCACTTCGGGCTTTCGAAGCCGCACGTCACCTTGCTTATAATCCAGTTCTCGCAGTCTTCTTTCCTCCAGAAGACTCCGACTGCGTGGCTTAGGTGCGACCTCTGGAATCTCATACCTGCGTCGATGCACCGGTCGTTCTTTTCTCGGCACAAGAACAATATCACTGTCAGACTCGCTATCAGTGTATCTTCGATCCGTTTCCTCGCGAAACGTGATCTCTTCCTCTAGATCCCTGTCCCTCGAACGAGGCCGTCCACGAAGAGGGGGTTCATCCCAGTCTTTCTTCAAGCGGCGCGGCCTCTCACGAGGTGGTTCAAGGTCTTCTGGCTCACGCCTAAGGATTGGTGGCGCTAAATCACGAGGATAGCCATGAGGCTCACGTAACATCTCCGGTTTTCTTTGAGCTTCCAGGTGTAAGCGTTCAAGTTTGTCAAGCGGTAGTCCCTCCGATCCTCGACGTTTGTATCTTATATCTTCCTCGAAGAAACGCTCATCCCTGCCTCGTCGTGGATACACATCACGCTCAACTTCGTACATATCCTCCTCGTCGTATTCTCGAGCACGACCTCGTCGAGGCATGATGTGTTGTTAAGTATAAAGGAAGGCCACAATGGCTAAAAATATGTGCACTAAATAGAGTTCTCAGGGAGCGACATGTAAAGGGTAAACAGCAGGTTCTCGCTAGGCGGTTAAGGCTGGTGTGCGACGTTCCTGAGCAGCTGTATGAGCGACGGAGCAGGCAGGAGGCAGGAGCAGCTGCTATGCGACAGAAGCACGGCACTAGCAGGAGACGATCAAGTCATTCCACCGTAGGAAAATCAGCCTGACGATAACGTTAGTCCTATTATGTCAGTGATGGAAAATATCTGGTTGCAAGATGATAGGCATCCGAGCGAGTCCAGCCTGGAAGCGACCCCGCGGCTGAGTCGGCTGATGTCATGCTGCAGCACGGGTTCTCTGCCCGAGAAATCTTCCCAATGCTCGTTGGATACGAGCCACCACATTATCCTTTGAGCTGGTGGATGAATGATTCAAATGGCTTGTATAGATCTTCGGGCCATGTGGAAATGATGTAGAGATTTTGAGTACTAGTGAGAAACGCCTAGCGAAGTCGTGGAACCGTGGTTCAGCTGGCGGTAATGTATGTTGTTGGCTGAGTAGTAGTATGATGATGATATATTATTCATCGCCACAACTCAAACAAAGTAGATATGATCGATGATTGGCGATGTTGGTTTCCAATTGTTTTTTCGATGAGATGCTAAATATCACCATTGATGTTGTAGTTATGGTAGTAGTTGTTACTACTACTGTTTAAAGTGGGAACGAACCATGTAATCTGTGACTCGCTTCAAACTATATATTGTGCAATGATCGGTGCCTTGAGTTAAACACAATCGGGAAATTGCGACCTGAGGCTACCAGTAAGTAATCAGTGATAAATTAATACTATAAAACGTGACATACACAGCGTTTTTTTATTCTCTTTTGATTCCCAAAGGATCTGACTGTACTTGATCCTGGATTGTATACTATATATTGATATCTCGCTACATATAAGGTTAAGCCTTACCCGAATTTTAGACGAGTCTGCCCCTTCTCTGGCTTACCCCGATTGCTACGATTAGCCTTATTACGAGCATTAGATGCCCCGGGTTTGCTTGTGGGTACTGGAGAGTGTTGAGGAACGCTGGATGCCTGTCGTTCTTCATCTGCCAGGTCTTTGGCAAAGTGCCAATCATCATGTTCACCCCTCTCGTGTTCTGGTAGTACGCTTCCGCAGCGACTGCAGGTATAACCCTCTGGCAACGTTTCTATTAGCTCAGATGAGGGGTCTCTGCCCTGAAGGGCTGACTCTGTATGCTCGCTGAGCTCGGTTCCTATATCTTCTGCTTCAGGATCATCCTGGTCAGGGTGTAGGTCAGTCTCCGGCGGCTTGAGGAAAAACCGCTTGATGCCATTGGTTTCCAGCTTCTGGCGTTTCTCATCGGGCTGCTGAGCATCCGACGACTCTTCAGCCATCAGATCCCTCTTCGGTTGTGAGGCTTTTGCCTGCTCACCGCGAAGGAGGAAAGAGTCTATTGCCCGGTTCTTCGAGACGCCGTCTTCGAACCCACCAACGCTCAAGGAGAGATTGGCGCAGGGCCATGCACGTCCGTCTGCTATGACCTGTCGGAAGAGTGTTTTCCCAAGCTCAAACAGTAATGTTTCATCAATGGGTACTGATCCGGGGATGGGAAGTTGACGGGAGCGAACCTGAGCTCCTTGACGGTGATGCAAAGCAACTGTTTTGGGGCGGCGCTTGTGCTCAAGAACGCCATCCTCAACAAGGCGGCCAAAGATATCGGCCGCAAAAATACTAAGCCATTTGTCTGCCTGGTCAACCGAATTTATGCTCGGCCTGAACGACTTGGCTGAAAGCATCGATTTGATTTGGGTCCGCGAATTGACCTCACTTTTGTCTTCTCCCCGGATGATTCCATAAAGCCAGGCAGCAGTATCGTCATCCAGTTTGGCGCGAAATTGCTCGAGAGACACCTTCAGAAGGTCACTCACTTGTTCTGTTCCAAACATTGCGGTAACCTGGTCACCTAGTTTACCCCCAAGCATCCTAATCTTTGTGAATTTGTAGCCACTGAGAAATCGTTGTACAGCACGGTTCCGAACAATGGTCTGCTTATTCGGCTTGTTGCAGGCGCTCCCTAATTTTGCCATCATTTTGTTCTTGGCCACACCCGCAGAGCAAGTGTATTGGAGCTGATCCCAAACAGCTGCCCTGACCGACCGAACAATTTCAGACCCTATCAGCATAGCAATGTCGTCCCAGTCGGGATCATCAACTTCCGTCTCATTTTCGTCCAGATCGATCAAACAATCCTCGAAGTCCCACTCAAGCGCAGTCGTAGGTGGGACAGGAAGTGGAGTGACTCGGTCATCACCTTGCGGTCCAGCTCTCAGTTCAGGATACCGTTGAAAAAGGACACCGTGCACAAGAGGTGACAGATCGATGAAGACTTCATCAACGCTAGCTTTTTCAAGACCAGCGTGCTGTACGGTAGACTGAGTGCCAGCCTCCTGTTCGTCACCAGCCAGCTCCCTATGCCATCTCGCCAGTTCCTCCTTCATCACCTTCAAGATTTTGCGCGATTCCGCCCGGTATGGGTCGAGACACACCTTATCGGTGTTCATCCGCTTGAACGCATCATTTCTGTATGCCCATTTCCCACCTTCTCCTTCCCGAAACGTGGCCACATGTTGTAGGATAATATCCGGACATAGCTTCTTCGCCTCTGCTGCCGATATCATCCTCGTTATACCGAAGGATCGGGCGGGATAATTTATCGCAATGAGCGAATCCCATTGTCGTACAGCTAAGGGGACCGTGCGGGGTGTCCTAAGGCGCACCATTTCACATTGCGCGTAGAAGGCATCGAGATCGACATGAGCAATGACTCGCAGAGGTGTTGCTATTGAACTTTGACGGAGAAGCTGTAGGTGACGATAGGTGTAGCGTGATTCGGTCTTCAAGGAATCGGCGGACGTAAAAGTCGACGGGACGGGTTCCGGGGAAGAGCGTGACATATTGAAAAGGGTAGTGCTATAGTCATTGCGGAACGTAGAGTAGCGGCTTCACGTCAAATGAGCTCAGTTTGCTGTATTCTTGGATGTGACACCTCCTTCTGTGAAGAAGTCGGGCTGAAATCCGCGCTGGATGCCATGATCTGAAGTTGCAACCGTTGACTCGGGAAGACCAATTCCCAAAGAGGATTAGCTTAGATTGGTCGAACGGCTGCATCGCGATCGAGTCAATCTAATCGACACTGCGACGGGGGTATACTGGTATGTCTCCTTCTGGATTCATCCTTCTACTCTGCTTCAGATGACCTATGGAATACCGTTCTAGCTTGATGACGCTAGGTATTACTTTCAAGATTAAATTCCAATTCAAATCTGCTGCTTATTCGCTTTGCCTACAATCTACGAACTATCAGAGCACTGACGACACCGCTATAGCTATAGGGAGCAGTAAATGTGTTTATGCTTGTTCCCGACCACACAAGGAAGGATCATTTAGCTAATGCAAATAACGCATCAATAAAAAGACTTTACTGATAGAGAATTGTTGATTTCATCCCAACGATCAACGTGAAGTCATGAGGTGCATGTCGGACCTCTGATCAGATGAAGGGATGATATCATTAAACTCAGATTCTCAATAGATCTCAAGCTTGGTCGGTCACATGGTCCTCGCCAGTGTTTATTGGCATGATCTTCCCATTGCAAACACAAAACAGAATGTCGGGCACCCATTCTCTTGCCCCCTCTAGATGTCTTACTCGTGGCATCTGCCGAGTCAGTTGTCAAATGAAGGCAACAATATCATTCGATAGCCTTGAGTTTTCCAGACTGCAAGACCGCGCAGACTGTAAAACTGACTGAGAATGCAATATCTCTATGGCGCTTCATGCTTTTCAAACTATTAATGTTAATGCATGAGTCTTCGGTGAGATTAACTGTGATCTGATTTGAGCAGGCAGCATATGCATGATCACTAAGTACAGCATGTATGCCTCTTTTTCTTCACCTGCGAACTCGATAGGGTTGATGCAGCCACTATGAAGACCATGCGACAAAGTAGACACCTGGACGGATGTCATTCGAGCAAAGGATGGGTCCCCAAAACTTGGTACATGGGGTCTCACCGCCATGCTGATACTATACTATACTATTGGGAATGGTGACCCCTCGGTGGTGGGAAAAAAAAAACGCCTTGTCGCCTGTCGGACTCTTGAAATGGGTCGGGAAAGTGTGTGATACTCCATGTCGGGACACAGTTGGCGTGATGTGGGGGTTTATTGTGTGTGTGTGAAGGAGGGTGACAGCCGCGCGAAGCAAAGTTAAAAAACCCCAAGAAGGCAACAGGGAGCATCTGATGGTGTTACAGAAGCCAGATGCCAGGCTTCGAGACCGCAGAGACCGGTTAGTTAGGTCCGTCGGTGGCTGTTCACCCTCTGAGGGTGTGGTCGCGAATCAAGGAACATCCGACCAGTTGCTGTAAGGGAACCGAGATGGTCGATCATGCAGCTGGCCAAGGATGGTCAAGTGTTCTTGCCAGATTGCTTTATGGGGAGGAGGGGGCTGTGGGTGTGAGTGTGTGAACTGTGAAGACGTACTACGTACTCTCCGGTCTACTATCCTTACAGTTCGGACTACCGAAGAGGGATACGAAGTTGTGGAAGGAGAATTACGAGATGCTGTTGCTATTCGCTCAGTTTCTGGTATTCATTCCATGTTTTACTTCTTCCGCTTTGAATAATAGAATTAATTGTTATCTTCTAGATTCACCGAGAAGTCTTCTCCATTGTGTATTCTTCATCTCATTTCGAACGAGACCAAAGTGGGATGATTACCACAACCTTCTCCGCTTCCCTCATATAGATCCCTGTCAGATAGACTCACAAGTCACCACATTAAATTAGTAGTAGTACCAAGATTGGAATTTCCACCGGGAAAAAAACAAGCGAGCCAGCCATCACAAGAAATGCCCCCCATCCAGCGCTCTAAGCGGGATGAATGGAAAGTTCTCATTCATGGGTTTTGCCCATCCCCAGCCCACTTGAATGGAGGATCGAGGATGATCCTGAAGGAGGCGAATGATTGAGTGAGGAGGGTTACCTTCCTTGGGTGGGAGTGGAGAGCGAGAGCGAGAAAGAGAGATACTAGATCACTAGTGGCAGGGACACAAACGGGCGGATGAGTGCCCAAAGCCGCCACGCATTCCTGCCCAACCTGTAGTGTCCACCCCGGGCGCCAATTTGACTGGCTGGTGACAAGGACGGGTTCGGCAGCGACAGATCCTTGGGTTCTTTAGTTGCAGATTGAGCGGGAGCACAAAGTACCCAGTAGACTAGTTGTACTTTTCCTCTCTGCGTGAGCAAGCTAGTTGCTACCTTGCAGGTACCAGATGCGACCGATTCGACGTGAAAAACCCTTGTCTGGGCTACGGAGTACTCCGTGCCTAGTCTAGTTCCTTTCTCTACTAACGATGGAGTTGGTAGTACTTCCGTTGTCGTTCTGCATGGGTATAGAGAAGTAGCAGTTCCGTAGCAAGCCTCTTACTTTGTGGTACTTTGTTTGGGTAGTTACCCAGCCCAGCCCAGCCCTCTCCCCATCCCCTCCATCAAGCCGATCAAGCTGGGGGTGATTCCCGTAAGGCAGGCAGCCGCTAACGACTCAATATGTGCAGCAATCATAAAAGATATGTGGTCAAAAAGGTAGCAGTAGCTTTGAGGTTCTCAGTCGTGCAGGTGCACAAAAGCAAGAGCGCCCAGTCAATGTAACAATCTAACCAATAACTCTGAATGGTTCTGATATACTACCCCGTACATATCCCTGAATGCATTTTGATGCCTCGCAGCAAATAGTTTCAACTGCAGCCTCCTGTCATCATCATCATCATCATCATCAGTGTCGACGCAATTAACAACATGGACGCACAATTTGTTATTGTGCCGGTACTCCGTCCTCCGTACCACTGGGAATGAACTTTTTCTGTGTGTAGTTGCGGCTGAGTCATCCAACGCTGGGCAGACCGACGAGAGCCGGGGGAACCGTTGAGATACTAAAGTGAGTAAGTAACTGCAAGGTTCTTCTTCTCCGTCGTGCATTCATCTGGTTGGTGGGTGGAAGCAAGCATTACTTGTGCAGTGCAGGAACAGCAAGAAGTAGGCTGAGAACTATTAGCTTACTATTGAATGGGAGCATACAATAATGAGGCTATCCAAATATCGTATCATGTTATATCGCTGCCCGCAATTATGATATTACTAGTAGTATTACCGTTGAGCGGCTATCCATGGATCCATCGCCGGACACCCAAACGGGCAAGATTTCTCCGCGGTTCAATCAACCGTGGCTCGTGATTCTTCGGGAATATGTAGAAGTCTAAGTAAATAATAGGAATCTAGTATCTACCCAACTATGGGACTGACTGGCAACAACTACTATGAGCATGTTTAAAGAAAATGATATTCAAAAATAATAGTGATATAAGGCAATATTCATGTTGTTGATTATTAGTTAATGCTTTTAATTACTCAACTTTTCAGTTAATTATCAGTAGAAAAATATGATTATTATTATTTACTGAATCAATGCCCTCCATTAAGAGAAATCGAATATTCATGAATATATTCAAAATCGAAAATAATATTAGAAAAGAATTATTTTCCACCAGTTCGCCGCCCTAATAGGGGAGATCCTCGAACGCCATCCGCATCATCATTGCCCATGGGTCAGCGTCAGCATCCCACCAGCTGCATCAGCAATAATATTCTCCATCATCCATACTATTCACAATCAAGCCGCACGGGTAGGGGCAGGAAAATCGTCTGCACCATCGCCTTCCATGACCCCGGCGGCTACGCCTCATTAGTCGATGCAAGTTTCTAGTGGGAGTCATCGCGCGCTCATCGTGCTGCCGGAGAGGGTCTAATCGTCGGGTTGGGTGGAGTCAGTCGTGGCACCAGACATGGCCGGGCAGCCCAAAGATGGCCCAACAGCCCAATCATCCCAATCATCCCCCCTCGGCCAGCTTCACCTTCGCGATACTCCACTGGCTGCCCGCCCCCCTCCTCTTCTAGTCTTCCCTCTCTCCCTCTTTCCCTCTTGTGTCTTGTCATTCATTAGATACACAGTAACTTACTACTACTACTTACG